GGTTGTGTTTTCTGCTTTCCCGATAGTGTGGCCCCGCAACTGTGTTTTTGGAAGGGGGCCAGGATGCCAACTGTCCACTGGTCACTGGCAAGGTTACTAATTGCCAGTTCTGGTAACGCGACGCTGATCTCGGCTGGAAGCCTGGATGCCAAATTGGATGCTGCCGACGATGCCCAAAGCGCTGCGAGCCCCCGGCCCATCTCCCGCTGACCATCCGGTACGATTGCCCGCCGACCATGACTGGGGATGACTACCGCGCGACCAGCCCGGAGACGGCCAAGGCCACGCGAGGGCGGCCTCCCTTCAACGGCGCCCACTGGACACAAAATACCGCCGCCCAGAATCCTTACATGGGGCTGCGCCCATCAGCGCCGCCCCTCGCTCTTGGACATCGCAGGCCCGTCCACAGTCCGTCCCGTGAAAGTGTCCAACGAACGCTGGTCATCTCTTGGGTAATGACGCGACCCGCCCAGCAGCCAGTCGGGCCCATTGCCCCTCCTCTGACTCACCCCCAAACTCCCTTGATCCATCGGGGTGCTCGCCTGACCCAGTCCGCCAGCCCAATTGGGAACTTCCCGATGCACTTGTCGCAGATGGGCCTGGCAGCGGGCCGGGGCGCCACGAGGCGGAGTCCGTCGCTCCGGGCCCCCCACGGGCGCCCGCGCCCCGCTCTCTGCCTTGCCGCCTCGCAGAGGCTCGCGGGCGGTGGCGGCATTTAATTGGAGATCTGGTTCTCGCGCCCAGCGGGGGCAACGAGCTGCCGGCAGGCAGCCGGCGATCCTGACACGGGGCTGCCCCGGTCGCCAGACTGCGCCCTGGGGCGCGCCCGGGGGGTGGGCCGGGAGGAGAGCGAGATAGCGTTTGGGATTTCGAGCGCCAAGGCTTGAGTCCGTTGAGGACTTAGGTACCGCAAGGAAAGGGCCGCCCGGGCCGGCAAGGATATTCAGGTGGGTAAAACGTCGGATTGGTTTCGGCGGGGCTGCGATTGAATAGGGTGGAATCGGGCGCGCTAGTTTTTTGTGTGCGTGAGCGGCGTTGGGGCAGGGTTGCGAGCGGGGCTTGAGATTTGGACTGTCGGATGCGGGTCCAGTACTTTGGGATGGATGTCGGGCGCGCATGTGCCCTCCACAGGGAGAAAGGGGTTGAGCGGCAGAGTGGCTGATTTCGAAGGATGCCGACTCGCATTGGAGAGGGTCGCTTTATCGACGTTTCTGGTGCTTCGGTCGGCCTCCGGCACCGCGTCGGCAGTTAAGACTTCGCTGGAAATTGTCCGGAAGGCAGTTTCAGCATGTGCCTGGAAATGGCGGCCCTGTGCGCACCTCCCGCGCTGCCACTTGCTAATGTCTGGAGCGCTCGCATGAGAGATAATCATTTCGGACCATGCTGCGAGTCTGTCCTTCAAGATGGAACAGACGCGCGCTTGCACATTCAGACCCGGGAGCACCGAAGGCCCTCTCGGTCGAGCATGTCTGTGTGGCGCTGGGCCACTCTTGCAGCCTGGCAGTCCGCGAGTTTTGGTAAAATGCATTCTATCTAACCTTATAATAAGGAGCCACCCCTCTTGAGCATCGGCGTTGCTGCATTTGTGCCTGCCGGCGGGCATGGGGCCCCATGCGTCTGTCGAGCGATGTCGAAGTGGATTGAGGGAGGAGAAGGAGAAAATGCGGACGTCGCCCGCGCATCCTTTGCGAGGAAACCCTGCCTGAACTGAACCTCGGGTATTTTGCTTTGTCACTTGTATATTTGTTTGCTCCCAATGCTTGCTGCAGAGAGAGCCACACAGACCACAAGCGTATCTTTCACTGGTATCAACTTGCACTTGAAGGCCATCCAGGTATGCCATGAAGGCAAATCAAGGCAATGTTGGCAACCTTGCATCTTTTGCCTGTGGTTGGCCTGTCGACGTCATCCCTGGTGCATTATCTCAAGTACGGTTCTGCTGCCTCCCCTACAGGCTTCATACCGTGTGCATCTGTCACAACACACAGATGGTAACAAGGCCATGGCGGGTGTTGCCTTTCATCGTTCTGCTGCTTCAGGAGGTTGCGTCGCTGACGGAGGAGCAGCTGAGGTGAGGCTTGACAGCTTACTTTGTGATCATCATGCACTCTGGTGGGACAGTTGGCCTGGGTGCAACTGATCGGAACGTTGGTCCTTGATTGTACAGGGAACGAACGAGCTCCACGTGGCTTGTCCTGTGTCTCTCTTGCCTGCAACGGCAACGGCTTGCAACATGCAACGGCTTTGTTTTCCACAAACGCATGACCAAACAAATGATCCCATGTCTTTGCCCAAGCATATTCGACGAAATTTATGTGCCTTGACAGAGCGACTTTACAGAGGAATCCAGGGAACAGGCTCCTGAATCATATGGGACCACTGTTTCCAGCCTCAAAAGTTTCGTCTTGGGGACGTGGCTCTACAAGAATGCCAAAACGTTGAGCCATTTGGGACTGTGTTGTGCACATCAAGCCAATGTTGTCTGTGGTGCACCTGACTTTTGCTGATGCCTTTTCTATTGCCTGCCATGCAGCGAAATAAATGATGTGTGCCTAGCACTTCCTGGACTCTCTTCAGGTGAGCAATGGCGACGATTTTGTGGCTGTGGAGGCTCATGCCTGCTTGACTATCTCATTAACCCCGGACAGGCTAGCAGATACACAGAGAGACCTTTGCGTTCGTGCGCATTGTCCAAACATGTGTGCAGAAAGTGGCAGCGCGGGTTGCCGTCAACGAGATGGAGTCTTGAGAGATTATCGTGTTCGCACAGCAACCCGATGGCCGATGCATCAACATTTGAAGCACGCATCTGGTTGACAGCCCAACATTGTCGTTGCGGACTGCAGGCGAACCAAAGAGCGCCACTAATCTCCGCTCAATGTGTCACCGTGCAGATCTGTGCTTAGATGACTGTGAGAGCAAGGACTGCGAGCATTACAACCCTTGCGACGGCCTCAGTTGCACCACCTACCCAGAGGCCGTGTGCTTCTTCTGCTGCTGCAGCAGCGAAGCCCAGTGGACGCTGAACGGGGAGAAGATAATAAGGTGCCCCGTCGTGAGCAGCTTCCGGACAACGGTCACAACCACAGCGGGGTCCACGACCTCGACGTCGACGACGAGCTCTTCGACCTTGATGATAACGGGCTCAGACTTGGAGCCCAACATGGCGCTCCCTGTGCCGTTGTTTGAACTTTTTGACGAGTTGCTGGATGCGAACAAGGACTATTTATCGGACTGTGAGGGATTGGGGAGCCGTGGCAGGTCTCGGGATTGTCGAAGGGCGTTCCGGAAGTGCCAGAGGACGCCGTGGAAATTGGAGTGCACATCCTGCGGCCCGCGACAGGGAGTTGAGGAGGAATATGAGGAGGAAATCGACGACCGTCGTCGTCGCCGTCGCCGCAAAGCCAACAATGATGACGATGGCGACGACGACGACGACGATGACGACGACGACGATGACGACGACGGCGACGACGACGATGACGACTACGACGACGGGGATAACGTCGATGACGATAGTGGGGACGACGACGGCGACGACGACGGCGATGATGATGATGATGACGAAGGCGACGACGACGATGGTGACGACGACGGCGACGACGACGATGGGGATTAGGAGCTGCCCGGTCGAATTTGAAACGATGGACGGAAACCCGCTTTTCAATCGACAGCTGGGATGGCCACGTGAACCTGTTGGGAACTGGGTGGCCTGTGCGACTTGGGGCAGGGCACGTGCGCCAGGAAGTTGCAATGGGGCCGTTCAATTCAAGATTGGGGCTCATTTATATCGAGAATGCGGGCGCACGGCGCCCCCGTTAGTAGCGAGCAGGGGACATCGAATGTGATTTATGCCGCGTTGTACAACAGGGAAATGCTTGCTGGGACGGATGGACCTTGGAATAAAGGACACTGTAGAGGAATGTGCCTTTAGGTGCTGTGAAAAAATTGTGGCTCACTAAAGGGATTGTGCCATTCTGAAGGGACTGGCTAGCTTGCAGAATAACATCACCATCTCCAATGACCTCCAGGCAGTCTTCAGAGATCAATAAGATGGCCGTAAGTCACGGCTTGGCATCTACCGAGTCAAGCGGTTCCTCGACTGCACTTGCAAGTCAACCTCGAATTTGCGTCCCAGCGTTCACTGCCACAACCACATGCCATCTCTAACACCAACTTGCGATTCCCTGACGCTGTGCCATGAAGCAACGCGCCGTTGCTCTGCTGAGTCCTGGGCTCTGACGGTAAAACTGCCCTGTGCTCGATAGTCCTTGCATCTCTGGATCCAATTTTCGATGCTAGAGCACAAGTTATCGGGAATTCGGGTCTCATGCATGGCACAGCATATATCGGCCCCGCCGGTGGCCCCACCCCCTTCCGCTGCCGGTGTGGTTAACTGGCGGAATGCTCACGTCAGCCTTCCCATCCTGAGGACAATGCTGACGCAAATGACGCTGTCCGCGCAATGGGTCCGCAGCAATAACAAATGCACACAGGTCTGCCTGACTTCCTGTCATACTAAGTGATGACGTGCTCACCACCGGGCCTTAGCCGTCTCCATGTGTGCAAAATGGCGTAACCCAATGGAGAGAATGTGCAGCATGGAGGTGGACGTATGCTCGGGACCAAAGGCAGGGAGCAAGACGGAGCTTGAGATTGTTTGATTTGTTTGATATCAAATGGCATCTGCGTCGTTTTCATTCCACACACCAACGACAGTTCACGTTGCCAAAGGCTGCGCTGCCACCTCCACCTCTGACACTTGCTCTGGCTGCAATGCACCAGCACGGCTTCGAACAAACGGTGTATTCAAGGCACTTCCATTTAACTACATGTTGTACAAATTGAGAAGGCCGTGGGGTGGATCGAAACACCAGAATCTATTGGGCTACTGTTAGGGACATTCTGAGAAATCACAACAAGATTGCATCCCGTGCAAACAAAATGCGTTCCAACGTCATGTCCTAGCAACCCACTAAAACCAAGAGAATACACACCATCTAGCTCAAGTCTGAGAATGCTGATTTCGCCCTGCCTGCACAGCACAAACACATCACGTGCATTAGTGCATAAGGGGACAACATTATACCGGCGTACATCAGCAAGCCAGCGCAACAATGTACAAGAAGGTCATAGTTGTGCAGGAATGATCACAACCGCTGTTGGAAAACACACGTCAATTGCAAGCCAGCAATCACACCGACGGACACCAGCAGGGCTGCTGAAGCACAAACGCAGGCACTTGGAGCAGGTTTGGCATGTGAAAACTAACAAATAGAATAGACATGGCATGTCTGGTGCCCCACACTGATTTCAATTCAATGCCATTTTGCATGGACGAAGAAATTGGCCCCTACACACCACCAACAATAGATAGCGAACAGACTGAAGTCCGCATTAATGCCCTTGACTGCCCACAACACAGTGAGCAGCATACAATTCATTTTGGCTGCCACAATTATACTGATCCTGGCTGTGGCACGGTCGGTGAGCAAGCACACTACAGAGGGCCGCTACACAGCCGTCATCCCGCTCTACAAGATTGATGACAATTTTCCAGCGACAGGCGTGGCGGTTCACAAAGCGTGCTGAGTACTCTGCTTATCTCACTTGCAGACTTCCGCTCATTCTTTCACATCCTATGAAAGATTTTCATTTCCTCAGCTCCTGCTCAAGAGGGGGTGCCCAGTGCACTGGCCTGTTGCCATTCAGCATGCTAGAAAATAGACAATCCTCGGTGCAGTTTGCAAATCGGCTGCACGCGTAGTCCACAGGGAGTTGTCACCAATGCTGGTTGCTCGGAATGAAGCTGCAAGGGCACACTGACACATAGTCATGCCAAAGGCAATGTGCGCACCGGCTGCTCTTTCTCTTGGTGTTTTCCCGTGTCGATCGGTTAACGTTGCTGCTTGTGGAAACTTCAACAGAAGCAGCTCAGTCGCATCCACATGGCCCTGCATCAGCAAATACAATTGTTGGCATGCCTGATATTCGACGCATCCAGCAGCAGATGGATGCCCAAGGTACATCTGCACTGATGAAACTAAACGAAAGTAGCACATTACTGCAAGCCTATGGGAACACATTGCTGCTGACAATTAGAGCTTATTTCTTGCTGCAGTCGCTTGAACGCTAAATGTGCATCGCATGAGTAGGGGGAACAGCACATGCACTTGGTCTCAATGCCTAAGGGCGCCTGTTGTCATGTAGGCTTGACTGACGTGACAAACCCAGCTCATTTGGCCTGTGTCATGGCGAAAGACCTTGCCTTTTGTCGCCTATGTGGGCTGGAGGTGGTCTGCTGGACACCCCGACACAACAGTTGCTTGGCCCCAGGCATTGATTTGCCCATGTTGATATTTCTCCCATGCCTCCTATTCTCTTTCTACCACAGCAGGAATATCACACGGCCACAAACGGCAACTGTTTCGTGTTGGACGCTGCAAGTCTGGTTTGCGTTGCAGTTTTCATGCAAACTCCAAAATATAATTTCTGGCCTGTAGCATGCCAGGGTTGAGTGCTCTTGCCATCTCTATATCTGTGAGTTATACTGACTCTGCTACTGTAAAGTATCGCCAATCTGAGAAAGGGTGGCTGCCCAGGCACATGGATTTGCTTCTCACGCCTCTGTTTTTGCTACCTGCCATCATTGTCCCGAAAAAAAGACGTTTGACAGTGTTGCAACAGCCAACAGTGCACCTTAAGGCAATGAGATGGCAATGTTCCACAGAAATCCTGATTTGGAAACACGCTTGACAACATCAATTCTGCAGACATTCGTAAGTCTGTCCCTCCGCCCATCAAAAGAACTGACCACCCCAACATGACAGTGAAGTCCAATGTGTGCTGCACACTGTTTGTGGACAAAGGCCATTGCGCCACCAGTGCAAAGGACAATTCACGTCGATGACTAGCAGTATCAAAGTTCGTAGTACAGCTGTGCTGTGCAAATGCACTAAATCTGGCAGATCAGGAATGTATCCAAGTTGCAGCGGGTCGTAGGTACTCACGATCCTATTCAAGAGCCATTGACCCATGACCTATTGGAGGTGTTTGCAAGCAACAGTAGCATCCAAATGTGTGACAGCACACGTACTTGCGCAGCAGCCTTGTGGAGGGGCGTTTCACCATCAGCGTCCTGAATCATGCCATCACCCCCAAAGTCTATTCTGCTCAAAAATCACACACATTCAATAGAGTCATTCCTCATCAACACATACATTGTCGCAAAGTGCAGCATGTATTGTCAGTTGAACAATGTGCACTAAACAACAGCAAGAGGCAGTGCATTTCGAGCCTCATTCAGCTAGTTCTAAGCAGTAAAATTTAGGGAAGAGGGCATTCATGGAATCACAACAATAAACCAAGCAGGCCTGCCTCAGGACATACATTCTGACACCCAGTTGAGTTCAGGCATTGATAAGCCCAAAAAAAAACACGAACATATGCCATCGACCAAGTCTTGGGGTAGAATGCCGGCAGGAGGAAATAGCGAATGTTGGCACAATAGACCCTGCAGGTGTGCTGCCCCGACTCACGAGGAGAAACACAGCATGGAATGAACATTCCTGGACAATAACCTCTCGATTGTGCTGGCTTTTGCACTGATTTTTGCAGCTTCGGCAGCCAAATAGATGGCATAGAGGATGGCTGCTCATATGCATTCGAATTGCCGTTGCCTCAACGGACAGGAAGAAGGTAACTGTAGCTGCTGTGCCACCCAACTTTGCACTTATTGGTGCTGCCTGTGACTGCCATTGCCCAGTCCCAATATCCAGATACTGGTGAAGCTTGTTGATACTGTTGAAGCTCTGTCAAGCGAAAGCAAAGCTTGGTCATGACTTGGTCATTCTCTATTTCAGATATGGTATCAAGGGATTCGCTTGGATGTGGGAATCCAGGGGCTGGCAGGTTGTGCAAGCATGCAGGACCCAATTCCATCCTGTATACCAATCAAAACTTTATCACGTGGTTGCTTCACCATGCAAACCAACCAGTCATGACATTTGTGAACACATGGGAGGCTGGACGGGCCACGACTGGCCAGTTCGATCCAAACAAACCAGCGTTTGCTCCGTTGCAAATGCAGGTACCCAGGAACGCAGCACAACCATCTTTTCTGTACTTACAAGATTTTCAAGACCATTGTGTGCCCCATGTGCGCAGCTCTGTGTACACTTGTGGCGCCTCCCGATTTTGTGCGCTTGTTTGCTGAGGACCCTGTTCCAATGCAATCTGGGATCACAAGGAGGTAGACAAGTGCAAGAGAGGACACAGTGGCAGCAACCATCGAAGCACAGTCAAAGAAAATGTGCACTGGGGGAGGGAGAATAGAGTCTTTGTGGAAACCAAGGCATCAAAGCTTGGCTCATGGGGAAAAGAGATGACATCATCTATGTTGTTTCGACTCTTGACACTCTAAAACACTGAATTCTTCTTGTGCTATGTCGTTGCTTGAAGACAAACAGCCACTCGCACCTCCACCCCAACAACGGGCACCTTGAACCTCCACAGCGTTTGTTCCCACAACCCACACGACTGTCTCGAAGGAGGCAATGGAAGACTTGACGTCACAGCCTTGTCTTTCTTTGTGCTTCGCGTGTGGCCACAAAAGATCTTTCAGCGTATGTTGCATGCAGCCACTGCTGGGGGCTATCGCCTTCCTTTCACCTTTTTAATATTATGACTTCCATCCTGCTGACAAGTGTCGTACCATGTCTCAAAAGGAGCCTAACTGCTTCTTCGTGACCTCCCCGTGCTGCGTAGTGCAGAGGTGTGTACCCACTGTCGCCTGACAACAGCAGCACGGATGATTGAACAGCATGGAAAAACACAACAGAATGCAGCGATCTCTTTGCTGAAAGCTGCAAATTATGCGGCACAGCAGCCTGGGCTTAGGGTGCGCAGGCCACAAGGCCAACGGAATAGCCTGTACTTTCAGCAGGGGCTGCAGATTTGCTTGGATGTCAACACACAGCAATGGTGAACTTATCCTCATGATCGCCTTGCAGTTCTTTACCACGTTCTCACAATTCTATTCACAGGATTGGCACGGCAGCAGCGCGGAATACAGCAGCAGGAAAGCAGCAGAAGAGGCCATGCAGAAAGCGCTGGAATGGCGCCAAGCCACACTCAATGCATCTTCCACGGGTTCTTTGGCGAGGCCAAGGGAATGGCACTCAAGCGAATTCGCTTGCCATGAAGCGCGCTGCAGTCCTTGATCACAGCTGCAAAACCATAAACAGCCACCCAGCGCACGCTCCAGCCGCAAATACGATGGACATCGGCGCGAAACTGGGCCTGCCGCGATTCCCAGACGGAACGTCCGCGGCGTCCAACAGCCGCACCGCGTGGCTCGCACTGTGTGGCTCGCACCGTCCGTGCCGTCCGAGTTGATGACGCTTGGATTCTTCCGAATGATGGCCTCCAACCGCTCCAGGTTGCCGCTGCGCGCGGCCGAACATGCGCTCTTCATGAACCCGATCTCGCTCACTGACTGATCCATCGAGGTGTACACGGCGGCGCACGCGCAGCCATCGCCGTGAGCCGTGCACTCAGGCGGTGGCGCCTCCATCACGTCCCGTGCCCTCGCTTCCTCCCAGCACGTGGAGGGCTGCATTGCCCTACGAGTCGCCTTGAGCAATGCGCACTAAATTGGGCTCCCTTGCCCTTGTGTGCGGCAAACAGTGTCGGAACGCCGTGCGTCCCAACAGGGTCAGTACATTAGCGCAGGACGGTCGAGTATATTATCGCAGTACTTCTGAGGAGCGGGACGCCGCCGCGCGTCCCTCCGCAAACAATTGCCAACCCAGTACTGGCGACGTGCCACGCTACTTCCCGCTTGCGCAGAAGTCGCACGACGCGTGCGCACGGTCGGGGCGTGATATCTCGTGTGCTGTTCATTGTGGTGTGCGCAAAAGGGCGGGAAGCATCAAAGGCCCCAGGCTGCGGCCAAACGCGCCCGGCGGAGGTTGGCGCTCGGCGCAGCGCGCAGCGGAGGAGAGTGGGATGACAGGTGGGCGTCGCGCGGCGCGGGCGGCCGGCTTTGTCGTCGTTCGTCAGCGCGGGCGTTGCGAGACTAGCTTTGCGCATTGCCACCGCCCCGTGAGCGATCTTCAGCTGTGCATATGGTCCATGTTGGTGACTCAGCTTTGGAATGGCGGCAAACGCGAGAGCGGCAGGTGGGTGCTGAATTCAGGATCGATTGGTTGTCCTGGGGGGTGCACAGTACCGCGAGCTGGGCTGTCATGATCAGGTTTGCGTGCTGATGCGCGGGCAGGCCGCAACGGTTTGCGTCCGCGTGTCGCTCGGCGGCGTTCGACGATGCGCGCATGGGCGACGGAGATGCGTATCCCGAGGTGGCACTGCGGTGGCAGCGGTGTTTCTGGCGATGCGCGCAAGGAGCGGGTCGACTTGACAGGCAGGCCGGAGAGCAAACTCTGATGGGACGGCGTCCTGCAGCGGGCTTGCACGGCGGGAAGGGCGCGTCGGACCTCTGTCCCTCCTTTCGAAGTCCAGTTTTGCGGCAATCAAAAACGGCCCGCAGCGCACCTCGTTTCAGCCCCAATCTAGAAACTTGGGGATCGTATTGATCGGGGGTGGGCTGGCCAGGCACCCGCACAACGCGGACGTGCGCTGGATGTGTTTGCAGCCAGATTTTGCCGTGCTTAGTGCGTTCAATGTGTAGTGGGTTGTTGAGGTGGCTGTCCTCTTTTGACGTGGGGGGTGCCTTGGCAGTGAGTTTGACACAAGGGAACGGCGCCAGCTGCGCGTCCGTGCGGTCAGGGGTGAGGAGGTGGGGCCTGGAGGGCCTCGATAACGATGATGGGGATGGAGACAACGACGCAGAGGCGCCAGGAATGGGGCCGTGCTGCAGTTTCCGGGTGCTATCGGAGCACGAGCATAGCAGCAATTGGCACAAGGTTGTCTTTCAAACGAGGCTTGAGGTATGGAGAGCGCACAGCCGGCAGATGGGGCCAATGTGGCTGGTTTGAACTTCTTGCGACTTATTTTCGCTGTGTGTTTGCCGCTCAGCAGCCCTGCCTCGCAGCTGGTGTGACCCATCGAAATTGGGAGTCCTCAAGACCTGGGCCAATATCTGTGTTCTGTCACATCTGTGCAGAGCGTCACTGGTTCAGAGGCTTGCCAGGGCAATTTAGCTGTGCAAGAACATCTTGTGGCTGGATTTGAATATTCAATGGTTGTATGCAAATACACGATCGAGTGCAGCAGATTCTATCGAAAGTTCTCACCTGTGTTTTGAGCAAACTTCTGCAAAAACGGCTTGACTGACAGAGAGACAATAAATTTGTCTATAGGGTGGGATTGCAACGCAGATGGAAGCATATCAGTCATAATTCATGCAGTGGTGCACTTGTGGTGATGCAGAGGGCTGTGAGCAAACAGCAGCGGGAAATTGATCGTGAACTGTTGAAACGACGCCGTTGGCTGAAGCGGCAGGAGCAAAAGATTCAGGAAGACTATGAAGCTCAGCTTGTGAGTGAGATGACTTAGGCACGTTGAATTCTTGCGTTTTTCCTGCATTGAGAAAGCAAACCTTTGTGCCATAGTTTGCCAAATGACATGCTCAGATCATCACCACGTTGTTCTCTTGAACCTGTTGTTCCACACTCTGAAAGGTCAAAATCAAGATAGGATACCTTCTCAGGTGCTCTGGGCATTTCCTCTAGCATTTTGTGAGCTGTTGTCTGCATGCTGGGCAACAGGCAGTGGTTGGAACTTAGACCATGGGAATCCAACAAATGCTTATTCGATGTGGTCACTCCCCAGTTTCAAGGGCTGGTCATGTCCTTCCACTGAATTAATCGAACACAAGTCATGAATATGAGGAATAGTCTCTGTAGATTGTTTTGCAGTGTGGAGGTTTAGACAAAGGATCTGTCAGTCATCGTGACGACCACCGTGGTGGAAGCTGTTTATTCTTTACTCACAATTAAGCTGGCAGCTGTTACCTATGTACACCCAGGGGCATGGTAGGCTGCCTGCTTTCATTTCTTGAACTGCTATGTTGTGCAATGCTGTATGGAGGTCCAGTGCAGTGGAGCAAGCTTCAAGAGATGGTTAGGACTTCTGGACAGGTCTTGCTTGCACATTCGATTTCACCGTTTAGGAATGTGACCACAGCACCTGTACTGCAGGCAAAGCTGAAGAAGCAGTGTGAGAAACAGCTGCAGGACAAGTTGGCCAGGCAGCTGCAACGAGAGCGACGAAGGCAAGTGCTGCCATTGGCATCGAAAGCCGAAGCAACCCCTGAGGCGCCAAAGCCAAACCTTGCTGCAACAAAGTCAACAAAACAGCAAGAACGAGAAGCTGTGAAACCTGTAAAACCTGAGCCTGGGAAGTCGAGCCTCTCTGAACCATGCACCAGCACAATAGAGCAGCCTCGACAAGAGCAGCCGCAGTTGAAGGCACCAGCTTTTCAGGTCCCAAGTAAGCCCGAGCAGGACAGAAACGGATCCGCAATCACAGAGGTGCAAGATCAGAGCAAGCGTCCCACATCCCAGTCTGGCATTGGTCTGCTTGGCCAAGCTCCTGCTACAGACTTTGCTTTGGGCTCAACTCATCAACCTTTGAGGTTGGCACCCAGTGTGCAGTCTGGCACACAGCCCTTGGTTCAAATTGGGGTGTCAGGAGCAGCCCCTGTGACCAACTTCCCTGCCACTGTGGCACCGCTGTTCCCTTCCACAGGTAATGTGTTTGGACACAATGCTTCTGCCAGCAGCAGCACCATTCCAAGCCAACAAGCACCTGTGCCTCAGCTGCCATTCACAGCTACGATGCAGCAGGCACCTGCACCGATGTCGCAGCCCCCCATATCTTCGTGGCTTCCAACAGCAATCCGAAGTGGCGACACCAGAATGGAGACATCAAACCAGTCCAAGCCCATCTTGCCAGTGGCGTCGCAGCCACCAGCAGGCATGCAGGAGGTATGGCGATTGCCAGTCATGCAGCCACCCTTCCCATCTTCAGAGGTGCAAGTTCGTTCTCGGTTTGTGTTCGCGACATTTGAACTAGTATCCAGGATGGGTACTGGCTGTTGGTGTTGGTGCCACTGATCCATTGGCAGACCACCCCCAAGTTACAGAAATTCAGTGTGACAATATCAGTGGCATCTTCAAGTCTGTGGTTGTTCCCCTCCCATCCGTTCTCTGTGGAGTGTTGGCCGCATTTCTTGGAGTGAGCGACATTGGCCCTGCCACCATGCACCCCAAGAGTTTCAGCAACTGTAGGTACCTTTGCTCCTTTACCATTGTGCTCCTCAATGAATGAATGCTATTGCAGTGGTTCAATCATGCACTGCATTTTGTTGGGAGTCATGAAACACAGAGGCAGAGGCACACATACACACGCATGGGTACAGATCTGTTTATATCTGCATGCTGCGGCATTACCAAGAGATCAGAAATTGCTGCCTTGATGCCCCGAAGTCCTTGAGGGCAATGAGGCAGGTTTGGAAGGTGCGCAGCATTGATCTTGTGGTTTTGTTGGCAGCGTGTGCAGGTTGTCCAGACCCCGCCTGAAAGGGCCGATGGTTTAAAGGTGTCATTGTCAGCAGTGGAGTTCGAGAAGCTCTACGCAGACGAACTGGAGGTGGCAAAGAACATGGCCAGGCCCTATGCCGAGAGCACCGCTTGTGGAAAGGAACGGCGGCAGGTCGACAAAGAGCTGAAAAAGCACATTGTTCAATTGGCAAGGACGAGGGAGCAGGTGGGCGGGCAAGCGTGCTGTGGACATTGGAATTTAATTATCAGCTGCACCTGATGCATTTCAGCTGTTAATGCCACCTCAAATGTACAAAACGCTGTCTGGTTTGTGCTTGGCAATCGACACCAATGCTTGCCAGTCCCTGGAAGTTATGGGCAGCATGTTTCTTAGTTGCTTGCAGTACCCATGCTCAAGTGGTGAAGAGAAGCAGTGTTGGCAGGAAGTGGACTTGTGGTCGTTGTTTGCTTGCATGAGGTCTAAAATGCCACCAGTTCGTCCCTCGTGGCTCAAATTGTAACACATCTGTACAGGACACAAATGTCTTGAGTGAAATCTGGTGCTCCGTTGATCAAATGCTTGTGCAACATATGATCTGCACTGGCAATTGGCAATTGTTCTGGTACTCTTGCGGCATTGAACACCATCAGAAGGAGGAACTCCATTGTGCTTGAAGGGTGACAGCATCGTCAACAAGTTTCTTGGGTTTTGGTGGATCAGTGCACCATGACGTCTTCCTGATTACCATGTCCGTTGCTGGGAATGGCAGGAAGACGAAGGGTTCTTGGTCAATTTCATGGTCGTTGGACGACTACTGCCATTTTTGGATTGTGGCGTTTGTGGGTTGGCAAGAATTTATGGGCTGGACATCCCTGACAACAAATTGTTCAGTCTGATGCACTGATAATGATAGAGGTGTCATATGACAAGACCTTGTGCTGCTCTGCACAGAGTGCCAGCAATGTCAGTGCAGTTCGATTGCAAATGAACAACTCACAGCATCGCCTAATGCATGTGGGAATACCGATTTGTCATATGCTGATGAATATCATCCATGCAAATATGAGGCTTGCCCACTGCCAGGCATTCGTATTTCTGGGATCTTCAATGCTTTAGAAAACAGCATTGTGCTGTACCTGTAAACCCCAGAGTTGCACTAAATAGCACTGTTGCCAAAGGGCTTGAGCCACCGATCTGCATAGTTATCAACAACTTTTGCCACCCTGAGGACCTGATTTTGGGCTTGCCTCCAGATCAGGGATAAGTCAAGAGACATAACTTCACAATTCAGCAGCATCTCTAAGGAGGACGCCCGCATGTATGCGTACTTGTCATTTGTGGACAAGCTGTTGCACAAAGTGAGCGACAACATGATGGACTCCATGGTGTACCCTGTGGCTGAGGTGGCTGTTGGCGTTGCGACGAGGCACCCTGTTGTGATGAACATACTGCTGGGCCGCCTGCATGAGGTGAGGCTCCTGTTGTTCTTGACTTTGAAACATGATCTTGCTCACAAAATGACAACTGCTGCCTGCACACTGTGAAAGCTTGGCTGTGATGACACTTGGCTGTGAGATGGTCAAGAGCAACTGGCTTTTCTGGGTCCAGCCAGCCAATTAAAACGACAGTGACTGCCCCAGCGAGGAGTGAAATCCTTGAACCATGGATTCTGTGTGGAAACTGCTAATCGATGGGTTTATATGTCAGGCCAAAAAGCTTGTGCTTGACTTCAGGCTCAGGCGTTCTGCCGTGATGTCTGTCTTGCTGTGCTGGCTCATTGACACCACTCAAGCCATTGATCTCTGGATTGCGTCAAGTTTGGCCTTGTTTGGTTGTCAAATCCTATCTGGCACCTTTTGCCTCTGCATTGCAGCTCACACATTGCACACGTCATTGTGGCTGAAAATTTGTGTTGCAGCTATTGAACGCACCACGCACAGTGACACTGGGCCTATGTTGTTGCTGTATTGATAGCACTCGTCTGAACATGACATAGCAAGGCTCTCCATGTCTTTGATAGGCATACATTGGCCATATCATACCTTTTTGTGTTGGCAGTGTCGGTGTACAGGGCGAGAGCCCGTATTTTGCAAGCATTCACTGACACCAGCCCCCTCCAATCACTTGCAGGTTTCCATCCTCACTGTCCCGAAGTACTATGTCAGGACGCAGCACGTGGGAGCGCGCAAGTACATGGAGGCCATGGGGTACCGAGAGAAGGAAGACGGGGCTCGGCAGGAGACAGACGATGAGTTCATAAAGCGACAGCATGGGTACTTGATGCTCTACGCTGCCATAACACAGGTAGGTGTTTTCCTGCAATTCATAGCACAGCATTCAGCATCCTGCATTTTAGAAATCTGCATTGCATGTTAAGGGTATGTATTCTTCCACACTTGTTGGGCAAGTGCCATCCAGTTGTTTCTGTTCCACATCACCCTTGCAGGGATTGCAGGTGAGCAACATGTGCTGAGGGGCCTTGGAAAGCAGCACAAGGACGTCCATTTGCATCGCAAGGAAGGTCGAGTTGGAGCACAGGCCCTGACTGAGAGCCACCGGCCATGGGCTCTAGTGGGCAGCATCGGCAGGGCTCATGCGTGGTCAAGGGGTGGTCCACAAACATTGCCCCACAAACGCGACCTGTCGAAGGAGCATGTTGCTGATAACCACGCACTGCGATTCTTTGCAGCCAATAAGCAGCGAGGTGCTTGTAGGCATCAGGGCTGCAGCAGTAAATATGTGCTGCTGATAGATGGCATTGGCTACGCTCATACCTTGTCATTTCTGTTGACCTACCTTGTGTGTGCGGGGCAATGCGTGTGTGAGGCTTACCCGCCCCCATTCCAAAGTCGAACATTTGGCCTTGCTTTGCGTGTAGGCCGCCCCGCGCGGGCATCCAATGAGTGCAGCAAGCTCCGTTGAGAACTTGTGCTCTAATCTATTGACACCTACTGTGAGTAGCCCTTGTTCCCTAAAGCCAACTTACTGTTCAGTTTTATGGGCTCATGCTTCTCAGCAGAGCACCCAGAGCACTCATCTGTTCTTGCTGTCTTCAGGTGGAGAACAAAGCAAACCCACATGGCGTCGACCACGCATGGAAGTATCTCTCGCGGCTGCTGAACACCATGCCTCCAACACGGATTACAGCATCCGCATTGGACTCGTTTGTAAAGGTGCGTCTCTGCTGATGAGCACTGCTTTCCTGGTGGGTCTCTGCTGATGAGCACTGCTTTCCTGGCGGCTTCATTGACTGCTGCTGTTCCACCGACAGAATACTGCACTCATGCACACAGGTGGTGGCGATCACTTTGAGTTCTGCATTCAAATAATCAAAGGTCCTGCAAACGCGTCGCCAAGAAGAAAGGCCGTGGCGCCTGTAGTGCTGTTATAACAAAAACGTCCCGTTCGCATCTGAAGAGCGGCTTTCGTCCACAGAGATGGCGCCCGTGTTGTGTGTTCCCAGAATGTGGTTGTATCGCTCGCGCAGCCCATCTGCACCATCCAGTGACGGCCAGCTGAAAGGGAAATGGAAAGAGGATCATCCCAATCCCTGGAACGGGCAAGGGAATGAAATCCTAAGAGCACTGGCCCGGTTTCAATGTTGCAAATGGAGGCAACGGACAGCGCTGGTCAGCACTTGGCGCACGCTCGCCCGTGTCTGCACCCAGGTACAAGAAAGCCACCCAGGCGCAAAGTATGGCTTTCATGAAGTTGGGCTCACAATGTACGTCATATACGCAGCACCGCGTTGGACACCAGGTCATATTCCTCCACACACTGTTGCCACCTCCACCTTGTGAAAACACCATGCACACCATAGATGCCATTTCTCCCTGCCTGCAGCACCCTCGGGCGAACAGTGGGCAATCGCCGTTGAGGGATGACAGAACAGTCGAGAGCTGGTTGCATGGGTGCAGGCAGGGCGATATAAGTACAAACTCATGCTCATTCCATTATTGTCTCATATATGGCACGGTAGTGTCCCATCGCGAGATAGTGCCTATTTGAGTTCTTTTTTGCCTTGCAGAGCACACTAACGAGTTTGGTGAATGTCCTATGCTAGCACCCCGGATCGCTCTTGATGCACCGGCACATGCAAGTCTTTCCTGGCCGTTTGAAAGCCGATCTGGTGGATTCAGGGCAGTTTGCCAAAAAGCCGTTGCTGCCATTTGGGTGTTGCAATGTCAATGTCCTTGCAACTGGAGATTACTACATCATCTGCTACAAATGGGAGAGCCTCAGGCATTCAGCTAGTGCTGTTGCGCTTGTGCTGAATGTCGTATACCCTTTAGGGGTAGACCTTGTGCCCCAAGATCAAAGGTACTAAATGAAGGCCCGAAAGAGCTCGCTGTAAAAAATTGAGCTCAGAAGAGCTCTATGTTTCAGCACACATTCCAGTGTTCACACAACTTAACGAATCAAACACCATACAGTAGGGCAATAGCCATCAGATTTCGCAGTTGTCAGAAACAGCCTTTGCCCTGGAAATTGTGCCATTGCAACACATGCATTTGGGTGCGTCCCAGGTTGCGGGCTTCAAACTGTACGAGACGTACCGCGGCCAATTCGTCAAACTCCTCCAGTACATTGACAAGTATTTCCTCAAACGCCTGGAGAGCAGCGGTGACTCCGAAGCCAGGGCAGTGTACAACAGGCTGCACAACTATCTGGTGCGCCAGAAATTCACAGAGGAACCAGAGGACCACTTCATTCCGGAGAGAGACAAGTCTCGCAACGAAGTGACCTGAGAGGACACGACGCGACAGTGTTGTGGACGAGGTTTGGCAGGCTGTCCTGGTGCCGAGGGTTGGCCAGAGATGGCAACAATGCCGGGAGGCCTCCTTCCCTGCAGCGCCGGAGAGGCTTCGAGCAACCTTGCAGATGCTGACAGACACTGATTTCCTGCTGCCACTGATGTGGGCTGGAGGCACTTGCAAAGCAGCAAATGATTCCTTGAGTGTTTTCGTGGAAAGAGCAAGCAGGGGCGCGGTGGAAGCAGCCAATTTTTTAAATATCTTCATGGAGTGACAAGTCGCATGGCATGTGCGTGCTTGCCAGGCGCATGGCTCAGAAGCGCAGGCCACTTACCCTCCAGCTAGCTAGGGATACAAGCCAAAACAAGAACGAATACAACCGTCGACCAGTTCTTGATTCTCTGCCGCGCACCCAACTACACCACTATCTTTGCCAAACTGCACAAACAGGCATCTACTCAGTCACAATTCCTATCCGCTGGTCCAAAGGCGCCCTCTGCCCTGCAGTTCCTTGGCAGTTGGACAATATGGGCTCCCAAGTCAGCCCCTTAGGTCACGAGCTCACGGAGTGAAACAAATTGGAACGGTTCAAAATCGCCACCAAGGCCGTGACAGGCTCCGGCGGCTGCATTGCCAACACTTAGCCCTCAGCCCCGGGACAAGCAGTCAAAATCCCATCAAGATCGAGCAAGATCCAGGTCAGGAACGATGGTGTTGAGAGAGTAAGTGAGGATCCCCGAGGCGCCGCATCTTCGGCACTCTGTGATGATCGACCTAGCAGCCCTCTCTTCCACCACGACTTCCACCGCCACGTACTCGCAATCCACCAAGGTGCTCACCGTGGGGGACAGAGCGGAGGGGAGGATGCTGCTGATCTGGAACACACGTTGCACATCGCGTCTGAAACAAGGGCCTGACAAAGGCTGCTGGTCTGGCAAAATGCAGGTAAAGCATATTGCAAGTCCAAAGGGCCCAACCAACAAGGGCAGGAACTACTCAAACGTGACTTCTGTGTTGAAATGAAAGCGTAGGATGCATCTGTGTTTGCGCCATAACGCGTGGACTGCTTTCTGCCTTTCATGATGTCGTGCGACACTATAAGACACAAAAATCCAACTCTGTGATCAGACCAGAATTCTTTTTACACAAGCCCACTTCTGGGGTATGCAGCAAAACCCTCGCAAGCCATCGGCATGTTCTGATGGAAGCATCGCCACCAAGGATACCACAGAACGTCCAGTGCCCTGAACAGCCCAGTTTGCCATGCATGCCACGACCTGCACCAAACACATCCTTGCTGCCGCAAGCCCCCCCCCCACATGTTGCTACAGACACCGCGCAGACCATGTGACATCATTCTGTTTACCTTTTTGGACTCTGGCACAGCCCAACAAAGGTTGGTAGCCACACCAGTGGCTTTATTGCAATAGGGCGGGCTGTGGTCAGATGGGAAGCAAACATTTGGATATACTACTGCCAGTGTACCCATGCCTGTGTTCCAAAATATTGTACCGCATGTGCACATCACGTATATCACATTAAAGTCTGGATGCCACTGATGTCACCCTGTCGCCGTTCCAAGGAGCACTGCCAGTGACTTGTGATGCAAAGGCAAGCTTAAAGAAACGACGAAACGACAATGGCAGCGACAGTGCCGGATACAGTTGCAGCAGCGGACAAACAGGCTCCAAGCAGGGAGGTGCAGAGCAGACAGGGCAATCTCTCAGCTCTGATAACTCCTTTGCCAGCTTGGGATGGTAGGATCAGCCTCGCCTCGTCCGCAGTTAAGACCTGCCTGCAGGTACGCAAACAAGATAGGAGCCCAGGGTCAACGCACCGCATCCAACTTGGACGTCGGCAGGTTCATCTTCAGGCCAACCTTCCTGCGACCCAGTATGGCCCCCTGCAGCAGCACAGCCAGGTCCTCGATCTTCTGCCTCTTCACCTTGTCCTCCCACGCTGACTTGTTGGCAACGAGCCGTGTGGTGGACGACAGTATGGTGTCGATGATGCGAAGCTTGTTGGCCTTCAGGCTGGAGCCCGTCTCAGTTATGTCCACGATGCCACCGATCCCCGGGATCCTGGCCTTCACCTCCGTGGCACCCCAGCTGTACTCCACCTTGATGTTCACGCCACGATCTTTAAAGAACCTGGCCAAGGCACACCACAGGCTGAATTGAACTGATGTTCCTCACAGCCCGCACGTGGGAAACAAAGTCAAGCTAAGTTTTCCGCATTTGACTCGTTCATGTAGCCTTGATGAACATGAACCCATCAACGAGCATGAGCACAATCATGAATATTGACTCGTGGATGAGTACTGCACAAGAACGAATGGTAAATCAGTGTGTCATGTACAGGCACGTCCGTCCGCCGACGTGCGTTTAGTCAACCCTGACACCTGTGACCTAAGGTAGCAGGGTACCAACTCATTTTACCTGCATGGTATGAATAGCTTAAAAAAGCATGCACAGTGGAATCTTTGGGGTGGAGTTGTACCAACGAGCACCATTCCAAGAGGCATGTGAGGCACTGCTGGAATTTCACAGGAGCCACAAGCACACTGAAATTTGGTGTTCAAGTGCCATGCAATAGGATTCTTGTGGGGCTGAGTGATTAACATTGAAGATTTGTACGATTTCATCGAACAAACCCAAGCAATGAGCCGACAGGCATGATCAATGGCTGCCATCAAGCCCATCCACAATGCCACTGAAGCACGACAGCAATGATGTGATTGATCTCTCAAAAGTGACAGCAAGCAGCCCGCATTACCAGCACTACTGCCGATGCTACAGCCACACCCTCACCACTTCCGACCACCAGACATTTGTCTTCCTATTCCTTGTCTTTTGCAAACAATCAAACTTCAAAAACTCTGCCTGTGCGTAAAAGTTGCACAAGCTGCAGCAGCTGGAGCTGTACTACACTGTGAGGTTTTTGCACAACTGTGATTCAGTTGTTTTCCACAAGTGCTTCTCTACAGTTAGGGGAACCAATCGCCAGAGCGACCAGGGAATCCATCGCCACCAAGCACACCAGCAATAGTCTGGATGCTGCGTTGCAAATATTTGAACAGCATGCGACCACAGCCTATCAGCCTGTCCTCGCACCTCTCGGTGGTCTTCACCAGCTCAGAAGCAACAATTTGCCCTTCAAGGTCTTTCACAGTTTGCACATCGCTGTTCTCTTCAACCGCCAACACCCAGCGGGCAGGGCTTGAGGTGGCTTTCGAGTACTGCAGTTCGCAAACCTAAACACAGCCCAAATGCGAAGCCCTCAGTGACAATGATAGGAATTCACAGCAAGTGGCCCAATTCACAATGGAAGCTTGCACGATGCCACATAACCACATTGTTTGTGTGGCCCAGAATCCCCATATGGCACTCACAAAGCCAATCAGCCTCAGATACTAGCAACTGACTAAAGAAAACCAGGAAAAGCCCTCTTAACGAGGCATTTACTCACATACAGACACACATCTGCTCATGCTGTCAAGGCTGCCTGCAGAGACACTCACCTCAACCACATCAGACCCATTTTCAACAATCCAGTCGTGGCCACAGATTCCTGCGTCCAGAACGCCGTCCTCCACAAAGCGACTGCGAAGGGAAAAGGAATGGTCAGAAAGCAATGTTGGGCCTCGGTGGCCCGGCACACCCAGAGCAGGTGAGCATTTATGCACCAGCAGATTCGATGCTAGCAAAGCATTCTTGCATTGAGCAATCTTGAACTGCACGAATACCAGAGAGGCACAAAATTGGGGCAGTAGGATTTCCCCTATTTGCCACACTATAAAGAGCGCAGGTGTCCATGCCATCCTGCGCAGTTCCGGCTGTGTCAATGCACGTGCATCTTGTCCATAAAGAGCGATGAGTGGGAGCACCCATTGGGGCCTAGCTGGTGCTTGCCTTATTTCCTGGGAACGAAGGAGGAGCAGCCACAGTTGGTCATCGTCGATCTGCGGAAAGTAACTTCGTTCTGATATCTTCAGCCTGAAACCTAGATAGAACATAAGGCCACATAGAATCAGTCTTGGTTTTCGTGGGGTGCCACACGATGCGAGGGCCCAAAGAGAACGTACACAGAGGTCAAGGTTCAGGTTGTGAAAGTTGACCACATTCAGGGGATGTGATTCCAGCTGATGGAAGAATTGGAGATTTACCAGCGGGGAAGAGACAATATCCACTCCAGCACTGGCTATGCTTGCAATCAACAGCAAAGGGATTGAGGAGGGAATGCAGGCATGCAATTCTTCTGGAGCTATGACTCACTTTGATTCTGATAGTCAGAACGATGTGCAGTGATATAGGATCTTGCAAAAACACCACTATCAAGTGCTGAGCTTCACAGAGTCTGCAATTGTCAACTTTTTCTCTTGTGGACAATCCCCTTGGAAGGTTTGCATCGCATTGCACTTTTCCGTGGTAGCCAAGGGCCCATATCACTTCTATTAGGGCAGCGACCTGCAGATCTCTTAAAGCTGATGTGCCATGCTTGAGCAAAGAAAGGGGGCACAAGCGCCAGTGATAGTTGCCTTGAATAGCAGCTTCTGAAAGAAGCGCTGCCCTTCCTGAAAGCAAAACTCTTGGACGGATCAATGGCAGGTGCACACTTCAAGTCTACCCTCTACTGTCCGAACAGGGCGACAATCCACCCAGAGTGGATGCAATGCTGCAACAAATGTGCAGAGTGCAGGCCCAACCCATCTGAACAGGAACCCAACAGCACACAGCCAGGGAGACACAGCCGCGTTGTGGATCTACTACTTCCCTCTGGCATCTCTTTACGATGAGAAATGGATCTACAAATCAAAGAGAGGGCAAAGGTGATTGTCTTTCAAACCACTGTTGCTCCATCCAGGCGCTTTCTGATACATAAAAGGGCCGTTGCACCTTGTGGACGATTATGGGAACCAACAGTGGACTGTTCACACGAGGCACGGCAAATGCAGGGGAAAGGAGTAAAAGTCTGGGCACAGCTCTCCTTGTGTTGTGTGCTGCTCCTGTCACACTCGGCGTTTGCGCAGTCTACCACAACGTGGACAGGGACCTCCCAGAAAACTGCTGCGGACGGCGGCGACCGCAAAGCGACAGTGTCCTTTCCGACCAACAGGCAATCGCGCTCACCGGCCCTCCCAAACAAGTCCTCCGTGCTCTTCTGCAGGCTGCCCTTGGGGAAGCCGAACTTCACCATCCCCTCGCCCACATCCTCTGAGCCGCTGGGCGCCTGCGACCCCGTGGCCACTGGCAACCCATTCTGATCCACCGGACTGGCCCCAAGGCCGCTCGCGGCCGAGCACACCTGCCGCCATCGCGATTGCCTAACGACCTGGCCGCGATTGAACCCAGCCGCCGGTGGCCTGGCCGCCGATCGGGCCCTGCCCGGGGGGCGGAGAGACGTCAGCCAATCTGGGGGCAAGAATTCCGCAAAGAGAGGAGGAAACAGGTCGTACAAAGGGCACCCACTCCAGAGCAAGTTCGTGCGAGACGCTCTTCCATGCTGTTAAAAAGATGATGGAGAGCCTCCGATGCAAACTGATGCAAACACAAAGCAAGCAACACAAAAAGGCGAGAACGCATGCGCTCAGCCAATTTTGGGGGATCTGGCATCTGGGGCGATGATGCGGCGGTGCGGCTGCCGCGCGGGTGTTTGGGAAGCGAGGAAGGGAAGATGCGAATGGGCGCCGGGCGCCGCGCGGATACGCAAGGGGCCAATGAGACGCTGGCGGCGTGGACAATCGTCTTGAACCCCTTGCTATCTCCGCAGTGGATCAGGGAAAAGCGCGTTCGGGGGGAATCAAGATGTCTGGCTCTCAAGGATATGCGAGGACGACAGGGCGCGCGTCTCCCGGCAGATGCGCCCCTGCGAGGGGCTGGCGGACAAAACGGAAGGCAGTCATGGTCCAGCCCCGTGGAGAAAAATCACTGATCGCAACCGGCAATCGAAAAACAGTCGATTCACAGCGGCGGAGCCCGAGGGCGGAGGCCCCAGGGTCGTGTCTTGTCGCACGCGCTCTCGTCCGACGCCCTTTGAAACAGCGTGGCGGCGGTCCCAAGCAAGTGCCCCAAATATGGTGGGCGGCGACGTACCCTGGTGTCCTGCTCGAACGGAATGACAGCCCGATGCCGCCGTCCAGGCTCGTCTTCATGCCGGCTCAGTCGATCAAAGGCGGCCGGCGGGCGGGGTGGGGTGGGTGGTGGTGGTGTGTGCGTGTGTGTGTGTGGGGGGGGGATTGGGGGGCGTCTGGCGCAGTTGCGGGCTAGGAGGGGGGCAAGTCTGTGCGTCCAGCGGCCAGCGGGGCGCACTTGGCGCGATGCCCCGGGTGTCAGTGCGAATCTTCCCCGCCAGGGCGGGCAGGCAGGAAGTGGAACAGGACTAAAACTTTTAGAGGTAAACCTAAACCTAAACCTAAACCTAAACCTAAACAATGAAGCCTATGAAACTAACAAAGCTAACATCTAAAAACTAAAAGCTAATCAGGCACCCGTGGCGCCACGTACTGGGAAAGTGCCCCCCGCTGCTTGGGCAGTGCTGTATGAAAAATCTTTTTGACTTCGATGGCAGTGCCCCCTCTTTGAGCCGCTGCCCTATAGCAGACTTGCGGCAATGTTCCACATTATGGTTTGCACTGAAAGAAATGCAACAATGATGATTATCAAAATTTGATTGGGAAGCACTGAAGTTAGATTGCTGAATGGCTCGCCGCTAGGGGACCAACCCGGTGTTGGCAGTGTTACCGAGTTGGGGCAACGGAGCTACAAAAGATCCCAGACAGTGCGGCCGGGCCTTCCATCCAGTCCGCGTGTCATGTTTAGGTCATCGCGACTCTTCTTGCTGGTGTCGAAATGCTGTCGTGGTGTGCAGGGCTCTGATCAGAGACAAGGGCGATGAGTCCCAATTCAGAGTGAATTGGTGGAATTGGTGAGTCGAAGGTGTGAAATGCTGATTATGGGCATATGTAGATCTCTAGCCGAATGGGCAATTTTTCAACAGTGCATTGCAAACGTTCCCAGGAGTGGTTGCATTGTATTGTTCTATTCAGTGTGTTTTGAATATATTTTAGATCCACAAGATGGTTGTCACACGTGTTCACAGTTGTGGTGCCAACCACGGAGGGTAGACCAAGTCATCAGTTGGTTATTTTCTTCGTGTACTCAGTACAATTCGGGGCTTAGCTCAGTTTTTTCAGTACACAACACACGTCTGCTTTGAAATAGACACTCAGACATGTACATTGTACACTCTAGTGCCCGCAATGATGGCTTACCGTTGGTCAGCAACGCTGGGAGGGTACCTGCAATATTGTGCAATGTGTCCAAACATTTGAAAAAGAGCAGATGTTGCTGCAATGTGTGTGTGTGTGTGTGTGTGTGTGTGTGTCGAGCATCACTGATGCGACGCCGAGTGGGACTGTAGCAAGGCCTGGCCCAGTGTATCAGCATTGATGCAATGTTGGCACATGCAGCAACGCTTGCCAATAATGACATACGGGGATTTATTGAAGAGATACTCGGCATTGCATCAATGGCAATGCAGTCACAATATCGCATCACCGTCTACTCATATTCCAGATGAAATCTGTCGTGGCTGCTTTTACAGCAACGACTGTGTCCCTAGTGGGCTTTGCACGGGCATCCGTGTCATGCTCGCGCAACATGTATGTACACATAATGACGCGGCACAGAGCGAGTTTGGTGAAGTGACTGAGATGCATTTGTTTCTGTCACAAACAGTGGGCCTGTACACAACAATTTCAATCACAGAAATAGAAGTGCACATCGCTCGAACGCTCCCAACAATGTCACTTGTTCGCCATTTTGAGTTCTAGATTTTGACACTGCGCAAGCATTGGACTCTGGCATGGCCACCGATCCTCATTATGGAAGGTTGGTTGCCCCCAGTGTCAAATTTCCCGAACGAGGTAACAAAGAACGCCAAGGCTGTCAAACCCAGTGGAGTACCCTTTTTCTGAGGCAGTGCTGTGGCGGGTGGCGATGAATGCCAGTGTTGCCATCTGGCCGGGAGCAGTATATCTGGGGTAGTTATTTGCCGCGGGAATGTGCCAGACGCTGTGGGGGAGGGGATAACGCGCGTGCATTAGCTGCGCCATTGGCTGATTGGACACATGTATTTAGTGATTGGATCTGCATGTCTTTGCACAGATCGGCGTCGCGCTCTGGCTCAAGCCTGGCCAGTGTAGCAGGCAATTTTCATCCTGATGTTCTTGTGTGGGTCGATAATGATATTTTCATGATGTAAGCCCTGTCGCGGAGCAGTGAGCGATGAAGCCGTGGGTTGGTCGTAGACGGATACTAACAGATTGAATTACATGCCATTGTTTATTTAATTACGCAATTATTCTTGTCTACTTAGACTCAATTCTAGGAGAAAATAACGCACGCAATATAATTTGAAGTACGCATTTTCCAGTACAGCCGTATCTGCATTTTTTAAGTCTGAAACACATACCATTGACGGCCTAATGGCAATGCTAATCAGTTGAATGATAGTGCCATTTCGTTGCAATGCGGTTGCCAGAGGAAAGGCCCAAACTACTGCGACGTCTCGAGGAGGGAGGCGGGTGGGGAACTGAGGGTGCGGGCTGGGGTGCGGTGGGGTGGGGTTGGGTGGGGTGTAAGGTTTGCTACAATGGGAAAGAGAAACATTTGATACAAAGGGCGCCCTCACCTGAGCAAGTATGCCTGAGGCTCTTTTCCGCATTAGAAAAGTTGATGCAGTGCGGTCTTCTCCTTGAACTGGCGATTCTGCATGAACTTTCCACAGTGTGGAAAAAGAGTCTCAGGCATACTTGCTCAGGTGGGGGGTGTTTGTGTGTGACCTGTTTCTCGCTAATTTCGAACAAATATTTATTCTCTTCCCTTTCTGCAAAATCCATATATCGATGCAAGGAATCTACTGAACTGCCAAATATCACGACACAACATCAAGTTGTCCTCGAGAAGGCACTCGCACAGAACTGCAGTGAGTGTAAAGACTTGGAAAGTGGCAGATTTGGACAGATGGCAGGCGATGGGGCAGAGCGATTGGAAGACCCATGGAAGCTGCCAATTGAGACATTTACAGACATTTGCATGTCCAGGGACACAACCCTAAGCAACAGGTTGACACGAAAGGGTTCCAGGCCTTCGACGCTAAGAATTTATCCATATTGTGACGGTGTGGACTAAGAGTAGAATAACATCTCTGAAGTCATGAACCTTTGCAAACCTGTGGCGGTGTCTCACATTTCCAATAGCTGGATTTATGACGCATCTTCCATACATGCGGTGAATTTCAACAATTCAGTTATTGGATCGGCCCACATGGGATGAGCTGTCTCTGCCTGGGAATAACGAACACGACTGTGGAGGGCTTGCACTTGGGCATGGCTTGGAAGAAAATCATGATGGCGATTGCTTGTGTAGCAAACTCAGTGCGCTGCATGGTGCAGAACATATGCACGTGACAATTCCTGATTATAAGATAAGCACCATCATCTGAAATTACGCGGTGCATAAAATTGATGGCACATGTTGGTAGTTCACTAGGAATGCCGGTTGCAGTTTGGCAATGTAAATGCGCTCATCCTGCCTTGATAAGTGTGGTTTACCTGCGGAGCTGCGTCCCATCTCGATATAATCTATGGAATTGTGATTAGCGTAATTAAATTGTGTTCACGACTCGCTACTTACAGCACTCATACAATGCAAGTGAATAGCTTAAGATGTGTGGCAAGCGAGTGGATTTAAACAGGTTAGCTGCAGAATAGTGTGATAACAGCTGTCGGACAAGCTGCTTGGGCAACAATTAGGGGTCAATATTCGCTAAGTGATGCTGACAACTTTTTTCAGGGTACTGCCCTTGAGGATTGGTTGGAGCTGGTAGGATAATTGGTGCAGTTTTTGACAGATTGATGCCATTGAGCGGAGTGGCTGTGGCAGTGTTTGGGGACTAGTGATGCAAATGAAAGGAATTACCAAATGGCCACATGCACAAGTACCAGTTGCACACAAAACTAATAAATATCCTTGCACACATATCTTACATTCCGTGACATCTTGAAGTTGTAATTGTTAGTTTACCAGGCGCAATTATGATGTTGCTATTTTGCACCTACGGGACATTTCTGTTTGAGTGATAAGGAAAGCATTGAACAATGTTGAAAAAATTTGTATACTATCTTGGAGCGCTGGGTGGATCAAGATGTCATAGGCTACATGGGCACAATAAGGTTACACTAGCTAAGCAGGCGTTTTGAAAGATCATCGCCCCAAATTCACAGGTTGTGGGCCCAAGGCCAACATAAGTGCATTCACAGGCGCCCCATTCAAGCATTGCATTTTTAGAAACGTAACTGCGGGAAACAACATTGAAAATTTGAGTGCACGAAGTACGCGCTATTGGCTTTTGCTATTTCCTCTTCGCCTGGAGGAACTTTTGGGGCAGCGCATCCCAAATCCACACATGCTCCAGATGGGAATGAACTTTTGGGGCAGCGCATCCCAAATCCACACATGCTCCAGATGGGAATGAAAGGGTCAAATAGGCCACGGCGGGAAGTACTGCATCAGAAAAATTACAAGCGCCGGCAGACATCTCCCACATGTCTATAAATTAGAATCGTCCCATAGCGTTCACAGATATGTTCCCTTATGATTCACCACCCTCAGAAAAACTGAATTGCTCACGGCCATATTCACCTTCACCCAACAAGGTGAAAGACTCACAGCTCACGAATCTGATAATGCAAACCACTGGGCCCCAAGGCATCCAGAATAACATACCAAATCATTTAAGGCAAACGAAACACCAGTGTGCCAGCAAACTACGCCACAAAAAAGTACAGTTAAGAGTACATGCGAATGCTGTTAGATACATGTGAGTTCCATCAGATACAACATCGATGAGTGATGGTATGGTCTTTGAATAGTTTATTCGCTCTACCCAGCGTAGCTAATCTCAAATCCATTGAACTAAGTGTGTAGAATCAGCAAAAGTGATGTGAACTAGCTCTGCAAGATCGATCCCATGTCTTGCCTAATACAGCGACCGCCTGCCCATGAGCTTGCGACGACGGTCATCCCCATCATCTTTGTCGTCGTCGTCGTCATCGTCATCCTCATCGTCACCCATCAGCTTGCGGCGACG